ATAGAATGGGCTAGCGCCCAGGTGCCGCCGACCCCCCTAATTGGAGGGTGGGTACTGTAGAGAGAGAGAGGGAGACGGACAGCAAGACAGACATATGGCCGTTTGCTTCTCAAGCCTGTGGCCTTGTCGTCGCTTTTGCGTGCGGGCGTGGCGCCTGTTGGGGTACCTTTTGCATCGGAGTTGGGCGGACTTTTGGAGGAGTTGGAAGGTTTGGAGGGTTTAACGCCTATCAGAAGCCATTGCTGCGGCCGGGGGGTGCCCTTCAGCCATTGCTGTGGCCTTGTGGTGGCTTTTGCGTGCGGGAGTGGCGCGTGTTGGGCTTGTTGGGGTACCTTTTCCCTGCGGAGCTATGCGAACGTTTGGAGGGTTTGGAGCGTTTTGGAGGGTTTGAGGCCTGGCAAACGGCAGCCTTGAACGCCTATAAGAAGCCATTGCAGCGGCCGGAAGGTGCCCTTGAGCCATTGCTGTGGCCGTGTGGTGGCTTGTGCGTGCGGGAGTGGCGCGTGTTGGGCTTGTTGGGGTACCTTTTCCCTGCGCAATGGCTTCTCCAAACCCTCCAAACCTTCCAAACCCTCCAAAAGTCCGCCCAGCTCCGCAGGGAAAAGGTACCCCAACACCCAACAGGCTTGAGAAGCAAACGGCCATATGTCTGTCTTGCTGTCCGTCTCCCTCTCTCTCTCTACAGTACCCCCCCTCCAATTAGGGGGGTCGGCGGCACCTGGGCGCTAGCCCATTCTATTAGACCCGTATTACAGATTCTTACAATGGATGTTTTCGGATTTCTGCAGAGGTTTAGCTTGGGTCAGAAACATCACAAATATGTCTGTATGTTTCTATGTGTTTCTTCTTGTTGCTACTCTTGTTTGGTATGGTTTGGGAGTCTCTGCATGCTGGCTCCACCTGAACCTGTTGCTCCCTGACAGGACGTGGCTTCGATGTGCAAACAGACTTCAGCCAGGCATCCGTTGATCCCCTCGCCACCTTTTCGGCTCCAAGCCCGATCCTGCCTCTCATCACTTCTTGCAGCTCTTCCTCTGACAATGCGCCTTTACCGTCCGTGTCGAACTGCTTTAGATAGTCCAGCAATTCCTGCGGCAAGTTGCAGAGACCATCTCAAATTTGCAGCACATGGTGACAAGGAGTGAGTTGGAACCATGTCAAATCTTAACAAGTGACAGGAAGCTTGGTGCATCCCTCATGGGTCGTCAGGTTGGCCTGAACTTTCGGAATCAGCTTTCCCAATTCCTCCTGCATGGCAGTTTGATGCAGCTTGCGGGCTAGTGGAGATTGCCTGGGATTCCACCAAGCCTTTCAACAACTTCTGCCCTGGCTGGATCTTTGAGTCTTTAAGACACCCAATTACTTTACTTCGTGTGATCCCCACCATGTTTATATATATATACATTTTGTTACTGGCAAATCTTGTGGCATTCTATCTGACATATCTTCTGGTATTCTATCTGGCATTCTATCTGACATATCTTCTGGCATTCTATCTGGCATTCTATCTGGCATAGCTTCTGGCATTCTACCTGGCATATCTTCTGGCAGATGTTCTGGCATATCTTCTGGCATTCCATCTGGCATTCTATCTGGCATATCTTCTGGCATTCTACCTGGCATATCTTCTGGCATATCTCATGGCATTTTATCTGGAATATCTTCTGGCAAATTATCTGGCAAATCTTCTGGCATTCTATCTGACATTTTATCTGGCATTCTTTTTGGCATACCTTCTGGCATTCTATCTGGCATATCTTCTAACATTCTGTCTGGCATATCTTCTGGCATTCTATCTGGCATATCTCATGGCATTTTATCTGGCATATCTTCTGGCATTCTATCTGGCAAATCTTCTGGCATTCTATCTGACATATCTTCTGGCATTCTATCTGGCATTCTATCTGGCATATCTTCTGGCATATGTTCTGGCATATCTTCTGGCATTCCATCTGGCATTCTATCTGGCATATCTTCTGGCATTCTACCTGGCATATCTTCTGGCATATCTTCTGGCATTCTATCTGGCATATCTTCTGGCATTCTATCTGGCAAATCTTCTGGCATTCTATCTGGCATTCTATCTGGCATATCTTCTGGCATATGTTCTGGCTTATCTTCTGGCATTCTATCTGACATATCTTCTGGCATTCTATCTGGCAAATCTTCTGGCATTCTATCTGGTATTCTATCTGGCATATCTTCTGGCATATGTTCTGGCATATGTTTTAAGATGTTGCCTGTCTCAAGCGTCTTTGCAAACAGCTCCAAAGGTACAGAAGTGGAAATGTCTCTGTCCACCCCAGTGACTCTGTCATCTGTTCAAACTGATTGCTTCAAACTTTGTCACCTGCAAAGTAAGAAGTGGCATTGCCACACACGCGCGAGTTTGCAAGTAATATATAACATACTTGTCTGACATTCTTTCTAACTTTCTTCTGCACATTCTTTGTCCCATATCTTCCTACATGAGGTCCGGCAGGGAACACTTGGCGTGGATACTCGCGGTTGAGGTCCGGCAGGGAAAAACTGGGCGTGGATGGTCGTGGTTGAGGTCCGGCAGGGAACACTGGGCGGGGATGGTCGTGGTTGAAGTCCGGCAGGGAACACTGGGCGTGGATGGTCGTGGTTGAGGTCCGACAGAGAACACTGGGCGTGGATGGTCGTGGTTGAGGTCCGACAGAGAACACTGTGGATCGCGAGTCGCAGTTGAGCAGGAGGACGAGGAGGACAACGAGAGGAGGAGGACAACGAGAGGAGGAGGAGAGGAGGAGGAGGAGGCAGGAGGAGGAGGCAGGAGGAGGAGGACCAGACAACTTAGATAAAATCTAACAACCCTCACCTGGCAGGTGGGGAAAAAGAGTTGCTTCACTTCTGAAACATTTGCAAGAGCCACATGAAGCACACTTCAGACTTCTCACACACATAAAACTTCATCAAGCACCCCGGTTCATCTCAGTCCTCTATGAAACGGTGAAACATCTTTTGGTCAATGTATTTTGGACCACCGAGATCTGCCAAATGCTTTTTGACCTCATTGCAAAAGCAGGGAGATAGAAATGATAGAAACACTTCAACAGTTTATGAACATTGACACGAGAGGGAAGCAATAGTCTCAATAGTCTCAAGGCTACTACACAACAGCATTGCCGTCAAAGAACCTCATCTTCCGTGGGGTTCATCCCAAGAATAGCCATGGCATGTCCAAGTCGTTCCGCGGGAACTCCAGAAGGCTGGGAGAAATATCTGAAGACAGCGTTCGTGGAAGCGATGACATCGCTGAACATCGTGCTGTAGGCCTTGGCAAATCGATCCCAGACCACGCATCTGGGGGCTACAGCTCATTTCTTGCTGGAGAACATGTGCACTTCAAACACTTTCATTGAAGACACTGACATGTCTTCAGGTCAAACAGGGGGAGGTGTCGGGAAAAAAACTGTGTTCATATATGTTCACATCATTGAATCCTACTACACTCGATGCCAGAACCGCAGATCAGAGTTGCCGACTTCATGACTTTGTAGATTCCTTCTTTCTTCAGCAATTGAACCCTCCGAGAAATATTGCTGTTTTGTCGCAAAACTTTGCACCTGCCTTGAAATCAGTAAGAAGCATTGAACATCTATCAGAACCGACGGATCTGAATCTTTTCATGAGAAAAGCCTCTGAGCAAGAACAGATTTGCTCATTCTTCTACCGGAAAGCCGGGTCCCCATCCAGCTGGGTATTCTGTATCTCAGGTATCAGTCGCGAGTACTCAGTAGTCAGTAGTCCCACTCCTGAGCCTCCAAACTGCTGGGCCACTGGCGCTCTCCTGTCTTCCACCAAAAGAAGGAACCCCTTTTTGAGAGACCGCCCAACTGCACCGAATTCAATTACCAACTTTGGCCAAACTGCCCAAAAACAATTGGCTGCAGCATGACCAGCCAACGGCTACTGTAGAAGCTCAAAGCACCAAAGCTTGTAAATCCTCCAGCTCCCACATGTGCCTCGACATCAGCTGATACATCATCTTTGACCACCTTGCAGCGCAGTCACATCCACTGTTTTGGTCCAGTGAACGGAGAAAAGGCTAAACTCAGCATGCGGACATGTGCCAAATGTGCTTGCTTTGATAGGGAAAGAAGTGTCTATAGTCTATATATGGTAAAGTGTCTCACATGGCCGCAAGTGACTGCAAATTTGAGATTCAAGCTGAGATCATTGTTATCTTGAATGAAACGTGCAGAAGTCTAAAGCAACAAAGCTCTAGCCCCTGGCCATTCATGCCTGAATTTCGACTGCTTTGTTATCTGCTTCACTCGCAGATGCTCTCTCTTTCTCTGCCTTGCAACCGACTTGTCAGGCCTTGAAACTACGTGCTGAGAAAAAGTAAGGTCTTGCTGCTCCACTGCTACATGTTTCCATTTCTAAACCACACCAGGTCCACTGCTACATGTTTTTGTGGGCCACAACCAGAAGTGGCGCTTACAGAGTTTTGCTTAAGATAGTCTGGTGCGTTTATTCGACGTCTGGTTGTTTCTGGTTGAAGGTTGAATCACCTGGGCTAAGAGCGCCCGCATGAGAACAATTCTGCCATGACCTGAAAACATCATGAAGTATTTTCCCAATGTCTATTCTGTGTCTGAAAAAAGACACGTGCGAACATCTTCTTAACCTTGATTCATGAGAAGAAAATTGAAAAACAGTGAACTACTGCGAAAACCAAAGACACATATTTCGCTATACAAGTGGAGAAAATGAATTCTGTTTGTTGCTTTGGCGTTCCCGGTGTACATCAGGCTGTCCTCCTGAATCTAAACTCAATGTAAGAAAGAAATGAAGGAAATGAAGCACTATGTTTTGATTTTGTCACAAAATACGTATAGTTCGATTTCGATAGCAAACCATCGCAGGATATCGTAAGTCAATTCCTACCGGCGATTCCCCCAATAGCTGCCATGGTTGCCTCCGATGGCTCAAGCATGTCCTGCGGCAGATCAAGGGATGACAAGACCAGCCACATGAGCCCCATCAATAAGATATGCTCTCAGTCGACCAAAAAAATTGTGAAGATCCCAAAGAAACCGATTTCTGTTCGTGTGATGTAGACAAGGGATGACAAGGGTAATGTACCGAGAGCCGCCTCAGAGTCACCCAGCTCCAGAAAACACGTTGCCAGCTCCACAATATCCAGCTGACCTTTACCTCAGGCGTCAAAACAAACTGGGGTCCTTCTCTTGGAGAATGGGTAAGGCCCAGAAAACCATGAGTTTGAATCATGTTTGAACATTCACCATCCATCTTGTTGGTGGTACCAATCGACCAGAGCACAGAATGAAAATTGTGCACTTCATGACTTGGCAACTTGCGAAGATGTGGTGAACGGATGTGGATACTGGCTTACTGGTTCCATCCAACACTTTGGCTAACGTTCAGCTTGCAGCTTCCATCCGAGTTGCTGTTACTTGGCATCTTTGCGACACTTGCCTCGCGACCCAGCGGAATCCCAAGCTGTCTAGGACTCTGGGAATCGCTGGTGGGAAGAAGCCACCAGTGGTGAATGCAAGGCAGGTTTCTCTTCTGTGTCTGAAGAAAGACACCTGCAAACATCTCCTTTCCCGTAGTTCATGAAAAGGAGACTGAAAAACACGGAGCTACAACCAAAAACAAGTGTGGCACTGAACAAGTGTAAAAGTGATTTTGGTTGTTGCTTTGGCGTTCCAGTTGCAGACCCTCATTGCTGCAGTTGCTGCAAGTTCTGATTCCCCAACAAGCCTGGAGTTTCTTCTGGCTCAGCTCACTTCCTGGACGCAAAATGTCCGATTTCAAGCCACAAATTGTACTGAAAGACTCCATAAAACAATATAATGTCAAAATATGTCAAATATATGTCAAATATATGTCAAATATATGTCAACCATGTATAAAATCCCAAAGCTCCCCGGCATCAATCAACCTAGCATTCATTCGCTCTCTCAAAATTCCATCATTCGATACATCCCGGAATACATCCGATGGAAATCCTTTCCTGACACTTCTGATCTCACCGTGCCTCTGATCGCTGCTTGAACTTCTTCAGTGGACAAGGCGCCCTTGCTGTCCGTATCATATTGCTTCAAATAGTCAACCACAGCCTGCGCATCTCACAAGCAGCACATACCAGTAGTCTCTGAAATCCGCAAAAATTTGGCAGCTTTAGATCTCAGGGAGTCATTACGGTTTGGCCAGGTGCAAAGGCAATCAATTTGGTTGTCGTCATTTGACTGGCCTGAACCTGTTCGAGATACTTTGTCAATTCGTCCTGTGCCGTGCTGCAGCTTGCAAAGCTGAAAGGGAATCGGTGAAACAACAGGACCATCAAGCATTCTCAAGGCACAATGTTCAACTCACACGAATGAAACATCAACTTCACGAAGAATGAAGAATTGGACCATTCCCGAACTGTCCGACTGTCCTGGATGAAACGGTGAAACGTCGCTTGGTCGATGTATGGGCGACCAAGATCTGCCAAGTGTTTGTAGACCTTGCGGAAGCTCAAAACGCAGACAGTTCAACGGACCAAACATGACCAAACTGTCACAGGGAGGTCCAGGGAGGTGCGATTTCCTCATCAAAACCTCCACAAAAGCCTCAATCTGCGGCCAAAGATCCTGATCCTCCGTGGGGTTCATCCCCAGGATCCGCATGGCCTGCCCGAGGCGTTCCGCCGGAAGTCCTCGAACTCCATCGCTGAAGTGCGCGAAGACCAGGTCGATGGAACTCATGATTTCGTCGTACAGCTTGCTGTGGACCTCGGCCAAGTCCCACTGAGGGTCCATCTCGGTCAGCCCAAAGACAAACAGGGAGGGTAGGAATACGAGAGATGGCAGGCTCAACATCAGAGTCTGAGGAAGATGTGTTTGCAACCACTGACCGCACGTACAGAAATAGCGGAAACCACGAAAGATGAGCTTGGAATATGGTTTCTCTGTTCCCAAATCTGGTGCAGAATTTGAGTTCTTCTGGTGGCAAAAACCTCCAAACCAACAACCTTGCTGCGTGCAGTGTGATAACCTCGAAGCCAAGCAAGCTATAGTGGATACCTTATCAAAAGTGCCAGCACCATGCAACACACTTCCAGCCCCTCACGTTTTCCTAAGCCTCCCAACTTCCGGGCTGGTGTGCTCCTGTCAACCATACGGCTTCACGAACATGTCTAGCAAATGTCAACATGTTTTATGACACCAAGCTCCTGGGCGGTCGGCATAATGCCACTCCCTCAGAAAATGCATAAGCTGAGGCTGAATGAAGACACTTTGCAAACATCAGCAGTGCGACTTGATTCCGTCGTAGTTCGGCGGACACCAAAGATTCTTCTGAATCCAAGACAGATGATTTGGAAATTTATTGATGTGAATGGGAAATCAACCACAGGAATCGGACAATAACGTTGCATCCATCACTCAATAGGTAATACTGTACGAAGGGTGGGGTTTGGGCCGGCGCACACGTTTCAACTCAACTATTGAAATGCCATCAAAACACAGAGCCAAAAACACCAAATAGATCCATAGATCATGCCATGTTCAGCAAACCTTCCAGCCAAAAAAAAAGTTCAACAACAACAAACGTCCGAGGTTGATTTCGAAAGTCTAAGACCGCGACATCCTTCTGTTTGGTCCGCCTGCGAAAACGCGCAGAGTGGCAACCTCATCTCTTTAAAGAAACTGTCAACATTACGCCATGAGCAAATCTCGCCCCAAACCTCGAGCTGAACGCCAAAAAAATTAAAGTTTGATATGAAAAAAATGCAAAAATGACCAAATGTTACTTTCGTCTTGAAAACGAACAGCTTACTTGGCTTACTTTGGCCATTTCTTCAACCAGTGGAACTTGAACCTGTTGAAACAGCAGTTGCTGGATCTTAATCTAAATGAACTCTAAATGAACAAACAAACGGCCCACGTCACTCTGCCCACGATACCCGTGTGCACCTCAGCAGTAGCTGACACAGCACGTTTGGCCTCGCCATGTAGGTCAAAATGTTGTACGGCCGGGGATTCAACATGGTGCAACCACACCACAAATACGCAGCACGGGGACACAAGCGACAACTCACAGTGGGAGACGAGGCAAAGGATGCAAAGGCACTGGCTCAAAAAATGCTACAGAATAGTACAGATATGTACAGACATGTACAGACAATAAAATGATTTAAAATGATTGTGTGAATCAGCTCTGCCACTCAGAAGCTCTTGTGGAGGGCCTGAGATGAGCCGCCAGAGCCCATGACGACGTCCTGGGAGTCGACAACTCGACAACTCCACCAAAATTTAAAAACCGGAAGTGTTCATGGCCTGATTATCTACGGGAAAATCATGACATTTGTGCAAACTCCCTGGGACCCCTATTGATCGTAGGGGATATGTGTGGAGATGGCCCTCTTTGGCGGACCGGCACCATAGTTTGCATATGTTTGCATTCATGTCTTTATGCATGACTTGCCGGATCTCTCGAGGTCGCCTGATTTTCAATGTCTGACGTATGACGTGTTTGTCCCTTTGGACCTCCGAAAAACTGACTGCGACTGCTGGCCAAAAAAGAACGGGAGAAATGTCGATTTCTCAAGATTTCTCCAATTGAAAATATGTCGAGATGTCGAGATGTCGAGTGTGGTGATCTAGGAATCTAGGCCTGACAAGCTAAGGCTGCCGTCCTTTGAGGAGGTCGACTCGGCGGTGAAACGCCTCGAAACGCAGAGACTAAACCTGAACTGTTTGGGAAACCGATGCAACATGAAACCAATGGAAACACTGGAAAACCCCTGGGGAAAGACTGAAAATTGCATGAAAGTGCATCATTGGACATGAGATTGCAATGGAATCTACAATGTGGAATCATGTGGAACCAATATGAGCCTCAGCAAGAATATGTACTGCTGAGAGGACTGTCAGCAATCTGCGGGACAACTTGCCCTAGGAACTTCCAGCTGCGGCTCCGCGCTCTGGCTTTGCGCTGTTCCAAAGCCAAGCAGGGTGAGCTCGGAATCGCGTTCAAAGAAAACGACAGAAAAAAACTTGTGACACCAAGTGAGAAACCCTTTGCTGCGGCGAGTTTGGAATCTTTGTTTGACGTGTTTCCAGTGTTTGTTCCTCTGCGGACGATCGTTGCTTGCACCTGGATCCTTTGATCCAAGGTCTAGCACTGGTATCTGGCTACCGACCAAATGAATCACACTCAAATTGGGAGAATTTTTGCAATGCCAATTTTATCAATTTTGCAATGACCTATAATGACGACCTTCCAATTTTTGAATGACCTTCCATTTTCTTGGCAATGTTTGGAGCTGCAAACTGCAACAAGTCGCAAAGAAGGCCCAACTGAGAGTCGTTTGTTCGGGTCCCTCAAATACTGAACAAATGAATCCGTATCATTTCTGCGACTTCTTGCCAAAGTCCTCAAACCCAAAACCATCCTCAAACGGACAGCACGATGTACGATGTTTGTTGATCCCCAAGATACGTTTGGGAGGCCTTCGGAAGGTTTCACTCTAGTGAGGTCCTCAGAACTTGTTGGGCCGGCCCGCGGCAGCCGAGTTTGATTTCCCAATAAGGACTCTCAAAGTATCGCATCAAAAGTGCTGCCCAATTTGGGCATCCCAAAGCACGGAATCGCTTGAAAAAAAATGACATGAAACGCAAGGTCCGCATCCACTGCAACCGGTGCAACCCTTTTTTCTCAGCGACGAGCAACGGTCGCCCGCTGTGGGGATCAAAGCAAACGGCGCGCTCAGCAACATCCGGGTTTGGGTTTTCGAATGCCTCTGGCGCACCACACTCTAGGGGGATCATTGTGATGGTCATCAAAAGTCATCCACCAGACCTATCTATTTATGTAGATATACAATGATATACATACATTTACATGTTTTCAGCCATCACGTTTATCCACATTGGGATATATAATTGATTTTGGATGGCATGTGGGAAACTATATATCAAATATACATTTGCTAACAGAAATATTCAAATACATTTGTATACATGTAAATACATATATAGTATTACGCTGTATTCAGTTGTATAAAGGTATTGTCCGCTCCCAGAAGATCCAGAAGCACAAGAACAAATTCTCACCATGGAACGACCCGAATGGCGCATCCTGGACTTTCAACCAGCGAACCATCGCTTCCTTGCTATCCGTCATCTTTTCGCTTCTTGGTGATGATTGTGAATTCACCATATATTTCCAAGGGCAAGGGCAACCCCACAATCCTTTGTTGCCTTAGATTCTTGTTGGATACGCCACAGTGATGGTCCTGAGCAGTGCTATAGCGGTTCCATGGGGTGAAAACAAGTTAAATGGAGGCAAAACCACCGGTTATGGGTAAAAACCCGTCAAGACCCTTCTGTTCTCACCAAAACAGCTGGGAATTCAGGATGTTCATCCAACCAAATCATCATATTGATGGTTATACATACATATGTATATATATAGATAGATAGATAGATAGATAGATAGACAATATATGATATATGTATTATACAATTACGTTATACCGGTATGTCCTCTATTCCATTATACCCCCATTTTTGTTGGTTTAAATCCCAATCAAATATGCTACCGGTTTTGATCCATATGGTACCATCGGAGCAGAGTCCTATTGAAACCCTGTCACAATCAATGCCTTGGTCTTTGCAAAGCTCTTGGTTTTCTGCTCCCGCTGCATCTCCGACCATATCCTAGGTCGCTTGTTGTTGAGCGGTGGTTTTCTGACATGGCCACGTTGACTCATGGAACATCGTCGATAGTCAATCTTCCAGGTTGACTTCCCTTGAAACTTGAAGTGCAAAAAAAAAACACCTAACAACTCTTGCGACACTGGATATTTGGGGCATCTAAATCCTGTCACTCGTTTAGAAGGTGGCAAGTCTAGAAATGAGGCCCGCAATGCTGGGTGACCATGGTAACTCCAAAAAGTGACTAGAAACTATGGTCACGACCAACTCAGGAGTACAAGCTTAGATACTCATCTCGCGAGCCCAACAGTTGTTGCTGGATGTTGCTGGGACATCCATCATTAGATATCTGTAGAATCAGAAAGTACAGTGACTCGAAGTCGTGTTTCATCTGTTCCAACAGCTGGATATGGCGACATCATCTCACCACATCTCCAAGATTCTCATCCATATCAGCCATGCCAGGGAAGGGCGGGAAGTACTGTGGTTTCTGCTGTGCCGAGCTTGCGGGAATGTCCCGTCCATCAGATCCCAAGAAATGGAAAGATATCGATGTTTCAAAGGGGACACGTTGGAAGATCTGTCTTGCAGCCTTGCAGGTCGTATTCAAGAATGTTACAGTAACTGCTATTTTTCTCCATTCAACGTAGACACTTTAAACATTTTGACATTTGCAAAACCAAACGCAGTCAGTGGCTGCATTGTCCGTGTCGACTTCGGCATGTCTGGATGTCCTGATGATCCTGATGGTAACAACTGTGGCAAAGCCATTTCAACAGTTTTCAACGAAACAGTCCATTGATAGTTCTAGCAGGGTTTTTGTTCAAAACTTTTTTTATTCACCATCAACAACCCCACTATATATATACTATATACTGTACTGCTGTAAGATTTTGAAATCCCCCAGTTCAAAACCCTTCGTGTTTTCTGTTGTTTGGCCCCCACTTATGCGTGTCAATACTTCCTTTTTCCCACTTGTGGCATACAGAATTAAAAAAACTCCTGATTCGAACCATTTGGGCGCCATTATACCAACTAGGCCGCATACCCAATAAACCACAGATTGGGAATGTTTTTTTGTGGATTTTGGGGGATGCCACAAAAATCTTTGCGATCGCCATTCCAGGTCGAAATTCCCAATCTATCTATCTTTGGATCAAAAAAAATCAACGTGCATTGGGGCATCTCACAAGTCGCAGGTGCTCTAGATCAATCGAAGATGATCATGATTAAACAATAAACATGTAGGTCTCGCACACTCAGGAGCAAGCAGCCTGTCCGCCGCATCCGCTTGGAGTTGACTTTTGAACGGGGCTCAGCTGAGATCAATATAAACTATATAATTTTAATGAAGTTCAAAACCCATCTTCTTCTTTTCCTCGATCACTTGCTTCAAGGCCTGGCTGTGCGCAGTGCTGGATGGCACTATGACGTCCCCCACAGATCTAGCCCTCAGCACCCTCAGCACCCTTCAGTCTGGGTCAACAGAATCTGAACCTCAACATCAAGAATAAGCAGAGGCACCATGAGCAGCCACTTGGAATCCCTGGACACAAAAGGCCTTCACTCCCTCATCGCCGATGGAATTGCGACCCAAATCGATGCTTGTCACGGAAACGTTCGTCTTCAAAGCTTCAGCTAGTGCCTGGCCAAAGGGAAAGCGACTTGGAAGTAGATCAAGGTTGACATCTGTGAGACGTCATGAAATACAAATGAGACACAACTCTCAGTTTCCGACTCTGAGTTTCCAAAGAACAAATGCCACTGGATCTAGGATTCAGGGCAAATGTCGTTTACGGAGGTGCATTCTCCGCCAATATCATGCCAATACCCCAGTAGAAAGCATACCACGTCATACCACACAGAATGAGTTCAAGTCAAAAAGAAATTCACCCACTTCACTGACAGTCAACCAGATTCGAAACCTGGACATGCGAAGGATGAGCATGAGCAGACTACAAAGCCTTTCAACAACCTGGCGACAAAGACACCATGAGCAGCCACTTGGAATCCCGGGACACAAAAGGCCTTCACTCCCTCATCGCCGATGGGATTGTGAGCAAGGCTGATGCTTGTCACGGAAGTGTTCGTCTTCAAAAATTCAGCCAGCGCCTGGCCGAGGGAAAGCGACATGGAAGTAGATCAAATCTGACATCTGCGAGACCTCATGAAATACAAATGAGACACAACTCTCAGTTTCCAACTCTGAGTTTCCAAAGAACAAATCCCACTGGATTCAGGGCAAATGTCTTTGACACAGAGATGCACTTCCAGCCAATATCATGCCAATATCCCAGTAGAAAGCATACCAGGCATACCACGTCATACCACACAGAATGAGTTCAAGTCAAAATGAAATTCACCCACTTCATTGACAGTCAACCAGATTTGGAAAGTGGAAATGCGAAGGATGAGCATGAGCAAACTACAAAGCCTTTCAACAAACTGGCGACAAAGACACCATGAGCAGCCACTTGGAATCCCTGGACACAAAAGGCCTTCACTCCCTCATCGCCGATGGAATTGCCCCACAATTTGATGCGTGTCACGGAAACGTTCGTCTTCAAAGCTTCAGCTAGTGCCTGGCCAAAGGGAAAGCGACTTGGAAGTAGATCAAGGTTGACATCTGTGAGACGTCATGAAATACAAGTGAGACACAACTCTCAGTTTCCGACTCCGAGTTTCCAAAGAACAAATCCCACTGGATCTAGGATTCAGGGCAAATGTCGTTTACTCAGATACATTTCCAGCCAATATCATGCCAATATCCCAGTAGAAAGCATACCACATCATACCACACAGAATGAGTTCAAGTCAAAAAGCAATTCACCCACTTCACTCACAGTCAACTAAATTTGAAAACTGGAAATGCGAAGGATGAGCATGAGCAAACTACAAAGCCTTTCAACAAACTGGCGACAAAGACACCATGAGCAGCCACTTGGAATCCCGGGACACAAAAGGCCTTCACTCCCTCAACGTCGATGAAACTGCAAAGCAGGTTGATGCTTGTCACGGAAGTGTTCGTCTTCAAATCTCTGGCTAGGCCCTGGCCAAAGGGAAAGCGACATGGAAGTAGGTCTAGGCTGAAATCTGTTCGAGAATGGATACGATTCAATCATTGCCAAGTATTTAAACAAGAGTGGTCGTCCCATGTCTAACTCAGTGCAAACCACATGCGGCCAAAACTGTCCAGAGAATCAACAAATGCGTATCCTGAAAATCTCGGTTCGACAACAGTACTTGGAACTGTTCAGCGATGTCACACCGGCTGAAATGTTGCGTGGGAACAGTGAACCAACTTATGTCGATTCGATTGACAGAAAGAAAAAACGCTGCAGAACTGCCCCAGTTGGTTGTCCAGTCGATTTAGCAGAAGCCCTTGAGGAAAACTGAATTGAAACAATGGTACTGTACAAAGTCCATTCTGGAAGGAGCACGTTGTCACCTTGCGCCGCAACACAGGAAACCTGCCTCAAGACGAACCGGTGCTTCAAAAGGGCGTCTGCCGGGGACTTGATCAGCACTCTCCTGTTGAGCATGCCACAAGACACGCAGGTAAACTTGGCAAGCTTTTCGAAAAGTTGCACAAGATAAGTAAAATATGTGTGTACAGTATATAATATATACGTTGGATATCAAAGCAGCGGCACAAGATGGGAAAAACTCAAGCCCCTCCGCATGGTGATGCATGAAGCTACTCAGAGCCCCAGGCCTTGACTCCGTCGTCCAAGTCATCAGCCAAGGTGTCTCTGACTGTCTGAAGCAAAGCATCTGCAAGAGCCTGGCTGAAGCCAAGGTCGAGTCGAAGCTCGCTGTATCAGACGCACGTTCCCAAGTGTGAAAGAGCAATCCACACTAGGCCCCTGAGAGCTTATATGAGAAGCTTTGGCCGCATGCTGAGACAACTTGACACTCTGTAGATTAGCCCGGCAGAGAGCCAGCCAAGAAATTGACGCTGTGGGTTCTGAGTCTGCTGTGCTTTGCACTAGCACCCAAAAAAAAACATACACCTCAACTCCACTTCGGTCATATTTGTCATCAAGTCGTCAATGGTCATTTATGGTCATTATGTGCAAAACGTACGAAAACTTGGCTCACCTCTGAGCAACCTGGACCAACCTTCGAATCGACATGACACTCACTTGAAGCCGATCTGGAAATGCTTCGAATGAAAGCATGTCAAAGAGGCTATGCCTGGACACATCACCAACAATAAAACTGAAATCAAGCAAACTACATCTGCCCAGAGAAAACATCATCATACTTGGGATACCCCTTGATGTGGGCTGAGTCTAAGCCAACGAGCCCAACACATCCGATACAGGCCAGGCCTGAGCTCCCTCGGCACCAATCTCATTAGATTCCAACTTCATGTCCCGCACGGAGCTATTGATCTTCAAGGCTTCCGCGAGAGCCTGAAAGAAACACAAGACATCAAAGATCCGGGTCAGCAACTGCAACAAGTAAAATAAGTAAAGAGACTTGGCTCGCCTCTGACCAACCTAGACCAACCTACAAATCGACATGTCACTCATCTGGAAATGCTTCGAATGAAAGCATACTATGAGGCTATGCCTGGACAAATCACCAACAGCCAAACTGAAATCAAGCAATCTACATCTACCCAGAGAAAACATCATAATACTTCGGATACCCCTTGATATGGGCTACATCTAAGCCAAAGAGCCCAACACATCCGATACAGGCCAGGCCTGAGCTCCCTCGGGACCGATGCCATTCCATTCCAACTTCATGTCCCGCACGGAGCTATTGATCTTCAAGGCTTCCGCGAGAGCCTGAAAGAAACACAAGACATCAAAGATCCGGGTCAGCAACTGCAAGAAGTAAAATGAGTAAAGAGACTTGGCTCGCCTCTGAGCAAACTGGGCGAACCTACGCATCAAGATGACTCACTTAAAGCATCTTAAAGCTGATCTGAAAATGTTCAAGTGAAAGCATGTCAAAGAGACTAGGCCTGGACACATCACCGACAACCAAACTGAAATCAAGCAAGCTACATCTACCCAGAGAAAGCATCATCATACTTGTGATACCCCTTGATGTGTGTTGAGTCTAAGCCAACGAGCCCAACACATCCGATACATGCCAGGCCTGAGCTCCCTTGTCACCGATGTCATTCTGTAACAAATTCATGTCCCTCACGGAGCTATTGATCTTCAAGGCTTCCGCGAGAGCCTGAAAGAAGCACAAGACATCAAAGATCCGGGTCAGCAACTGCAACAAGTAAAATGAGTACAGAGACTTGGCTCGCCTCTGACCAACCTAGACCAACCTACAAATCGACATGTCACTCATCTGGAAATGCTTCGAACGAAAGCATACTAAAGAGGCTATGCCTGGACAAATCACCAACAGCCAAACTGAAATCCAGCAAGCTACATCTACCCAGAGAAATTATCATCATACTTGGGATACCCCTTGATATGGGCTACGTCTAAGCCAAAGAGCCCAACACATCCGATACAGGCCGGGCCTGAGCTCCCTCGGGACCGATGCCATTCCATTCCAACTTCATGTCCCGCACGGAGCTATTGATCTTCAAGGCTTCTGCGAGAGCCTGAAAGAAACACAAGACATCAAAGATCCGGGTCAGCAACTGCAACAAGTAAAATGAGTACAGAGACTTGGCTCGCCTCTGACCAACCTAGACCTACGAATCGACATGACACTCACTTGCAGCTGATCTGGAAATGCTTCGAATGAAAGCATGACAGAGAGGCTATGCCTGGAGACATCACCAACAACCAAACTGAAGTCAAGCAAGCTACATCTACCCAGAGAAAAGCATCATCATACTTGTGATACCCCTTGATGTGTGTTGAGTCTAAGCCAAAGAGCCCAACACATCCGATACAGGCCAGGCCTGAGCTCCCTCGGCACCAATCTCATTAGATTCCAACTTCATGTCCCGCACGGAGCTATTGATCTTCAAGGCTTCTGCGAGAGCCTGAAAGAAACACAAGACATCAAAGATCCGGGTCAGCAACTGCAACAAGTAAAATGAGTAAAGAGACTTGGCTCGCCTCTGACCAACCTAGACCTACGAATCGACATGACACTCACTTGAAGCTGATCTGGAAATGCTTCGAATGAAAGCATGACAGAGAGGCTATGCCTGGAGACATCACCAACAGCCAAACTGAAGTCAAGCAAGCTACATCTACCCAGAGAAATTATCATCATACTTGGGATACCCCTTGATGTGTGTTGAGTCTAAGCCAAAGAGCCCAACACATCCGATACAGGCCAGGCCTGAGCTCCCTCGGGACCAATCTTGTTATGTTCCAAATTCATGTCCCGCACGGAGCTATTGATCTTCAAGGCTTCCGCGAGAGCCTGAAAGAAACACAAGACATCAAAGATCCGGGTCAGCAACTGCAACAGGTAAAATGAGTAAAGAGACTTGGCGAAGCGAGATGCAAGGGGAACATGGGCAAGGGAGTGAAGGTGGCTCTGAGTGGAGTTAGTCAGGTGGTGAGTTGATGGAATGGGCTGGGCGGAGTGAGTTTGGTGGATGAAGGTTGTTAGAGTGAGTTCGTTGGATTGCTAGAGTTGGATAGAATGAGTGAGTTGGATGGAGTGAATTCAGTGGAGTGAGTTTGATCGAGTGCAGTGGACCGAGTTAGATGACTTGAGCCTGGTGGAGTGAGCTTGGATTGAGAGTGCATCAAGTTGGATCGGTTGTGTGAAGGCGAGTTTCCTATTCCCAGGTCCAGTTCCTAGGCAACATCTTGTTGCACTTCTAGCTTGTGCAAAATGATGGCTGATAGATGGTGTGGTATGGTGTGGTCTTGTGGGAAATCAAGCCTCAATCAGCCAGGGGTGTTCAATGGGCGGAACCGGGGTAATCGCTGCCTCCGACATCCCTTGCTACCGCAAGAAGTTGAAGCTGATCTGGAAATGCTTCGAATGAAAGCATGTCAAAGAGACTAGGCCTGGACACATCACCAACAACCAAACTGAAGTCAAGCAAGCTACATCTACCCAGAGAAAAGCATCATCATACTTGTGATACCCCTTGATGTGTGTTGAGTCTAAGCCAAAGAGCCCAACACATCCGATACAGGCCAGGCCTGAGCTCCCTCGGGACCAATCTCATTGAGTGCCAAATTCATGTCCCGCACGGAGCTATTGATCTTCAAGGCTTCCGCGAGAGCCTGAAAGAACACAAGACATCAAAGATCCGGGTCAGCAACTGCAACAGGTAAAATGAGTAAAGAGACTTGGCGAAGCGAGATGCAAGGGGAACATGGGCAAGGGAGTGAAGGTGGCTCTGAGTGGAGTTAGTCAGGTGGTGAGTTGATGGAATGGGCTGGGCGGAGTGAGATTGGTGAAGTTTGTTAGAGTGAGTTCGTTGGATGGCTAGAGTTGGATAGAATGAGTGAGTTGGATGGAGTGAATTCAGTGGAGTGAGTTTGATCGAGTGCAGTGGACCGAGTTAGATGACTTGAGAGTGGAGAGCGTTGGAAAGTGTGAGGTGGAGTGAGCCGAGCCATGTTCCAAGGTAACATCATGTTACATTTCGAGTTTTATGTCCAAAATGATAGCTTTAAGAGTTGCATGTCAGGCAACCGTTGGGTAGGGTCAAAATAGTTTTTTTAAGCAATTCTGGAGTGATTTTGAAGCGAGCAAATAGCAATTGCACATTTTGGTGGCCTTGAGAGGAGCAAGCGAAAAGCAAACCGAAAGCAATCGAATAGCAAAAAAATAGCGAGCGAAAAGCAATTTTCCCGGTAAAGGTGCTAATTTTCCTTGCTCGAAACGTTCGGGGTTAATGAAAAAATCAAAAAATGCAATTTTCCTCGGAAAAATCACTATTCGCTCGCTATTTTCCTGTTTGAATTTGATACGCCGATACGCAAAAGCAAGCGAATAGCGAGCGAAAAGCAATTTTCCCGGTAAAGGTGCTAATTTTCCTTGCTCGGATCGTTCGGGATTAAAGAAAAAATGCGAAATTTCGAATTTTCCTCGGAAAAATCACTATTCGCTCGCTATTTCTTTTTTTGAATTTGATATGCAAAAGCAAGCGAATAGCGAGCGAAAAGCAATTTTCCCAATAAAGGTGCTAATTTTCCTTGCTCGGATCGTTCGGGATTAAAGAAAAAATGCGAAACTTCGAATTTTCCTCGGAAAAATCGCTATTCGCTCGCTATTTCTTTTTTTTAATTTGATACGCAAAAGCAAGCGAATAGCGAGCGAAAAACAATTTTCCCAATAAAGGTGCTAATTTTCCTTGCTCGGATCGTTCGGGATTAAAAAGAAAAAATGCGAAATTTGGAATTTTCCTCGGAAAAATCACTATTCGCTCGCTATTTCTTTTTTTGAATTTGATACGCAAAAGCAAGCGAATAGCGAGCGAAAAGCAATTTTCCCAATAAAGGTGCTAATTTTCCTTGCTCGGATCGTTGGGGATTAAAGAAAAAATGCGAAATTTCGAATTTTCCTCGGAAAAATCACTATTCGCTCGCTATTTCCCTTTTTGAATTTGATACGCAAAAGCAAGCGAATAGCGAGCGAAAAGCAATTTTCCCGGTAAAGGTGCTAATTTTCCTTGCTCGGATCGTTCGGGATTAAAGAAAAAATGCGAAATTTCGAATTTTCCTCGGAAAAATCACTATTCGCTCGCTATTTCTTTTTTTGAATTTGATACGCAAAAGCAAGCGAATAGCGAGCGAAAAGCAATTTTCCCAATAAAGGTGCTAATTTTCCTTGCTCGGATCGTTCGGGATTAAAGAGAAAATGCGAAATTTCGAATTTTCCTCGGAAAAATCACTATTCGCTCGCTATTTCTTTTTTTGAATTTGATACGCGAAAGCAAGCGAATAGCGAGCGAAAAGCAATTTTCCCAATAAAGGTGCTAATTTTCCTTGCTCGGATCGTTCGGGATTAAAGAAAAAATGCGAAATTTCGAATTTTCCTCGGAAAAATCACTATTCGCTCGCTATTTCCTTTTTGAATTTGATACGCAAAAGCAAGCGAATAGCGAGCGAAAAGCAATTTTCCCAATAAAGGTGCTAATTTTCCTTGCTCGGATCGTTCGGGATTAAAGAAAAAATGCGAAATTTCGAATTTTCCTCGGAAAAATCCTATTCGCTCGCTATTTCCCTTTTTGAATTTGATACGCAAAAGCAAGCGAATAGCGAGCGAAAAGCAATTTTCCCAATAAAAAGGAGCTAAAATTTCTTTGCACTCGGATTTCCCAATTCGGGCTAATTAAAGAAAAAATGCGAAATTTCGAATTTTCGGATCGGATAAAAAGAAAATGCGAAATTTGGAATTTCCTCGGAAAAATCACTATTCGCTCGCTATTTTCCTTTTTGAATTTGATACGCAAAAGCAAGCGAATAGCGAGCGAAAAGCAATTTTCCCAATAAAGGTGCTAATTTTCCTTGCTCGGATCGTTCGGGATTAAAGAAAAAATGCGAAATTTCAAATTTTTCGTCGGAAAAATCACTATTCGCTCGCTATTTCCCTTTTTGAATTTGATACGCAAAAGCAAGCGAATAGCGAGCGAAAAGCAATTTTCCCAATAAAGGTGCTAATTTTCCTTGCTTGGATTGTTCGGGACTAAAGAAAAAATTCGAAATTTCGAATTTTCCTCTGAAAAATCACTATTCGCTCGCTATTTTCTTTTTTGAATTTGATACGCAAAAGCAAGCGAATGGCGAGCGAAAAACAATTTTCCCGGTAAAGGTGCTAATTTTCCTTGCTCGGATCGTTCGGGATTAAAGAAAAAATGCGAAATTTCGAATTTTCCTCGGAAAAATCACTATTTGCTCGCTATTTCTTTTTTTGAATTTGATACGCGAAAGCAAGCGAATAGCGAGCGAAAAGCAATTCCCGGTAAGGGTGCTAATTTTTCTTGCTCGGATCGTTCGGGATTAAAAAAAAAGCGAAATTTCGAATTTTCCTCGGAAAAATCACTATTCGCTCGCTATTTTCCTTTTTGAATTTGATACGCAAAAGCAAGCGAATAGCGAGCGAAAAGCAATTTTCCCAATAAAGGTGCTAATTTTCCTTTCTCGGATCGTTCGGGATTAAAGAAAAAATGCGAAATTTCGAATTTTCCGTCGGAAAAATCCTTATTCGCTCGCTATTTTCCTTTTTGAATTTGATACGCAAAAGCAAGCGAATAGCGAGCGAAAAGCAATTTTCCCAATAAAGGTGCTAATTTTCTTTGCTCGGATCGTTCGGGATTAAAGAAAAAATGCGAAATTTCGAATTTTCCTCGGAAAAATCACTCTTCGCTCGCTATTTTCCTTTTTGAATATGATATGCAAAAGCAAGCGAATAGCGAGCGAAAAGCAATTTTCCCAATAAAGGTGCTAATTTTCCTTGCTCGGATCGTTCGGGATTAAAGAAAAAATGCGAAATTTCGAATATTCCTCGGAAAAATCACTATTCGCTCGCTATTTTCTTGCTATCCGCTTGCTCTTCTGAAATGTTAAATCACTATTTGATTGAGCCTCCGCTCGCTACAAACCTTGCAAAAAAACATTTTTTGGTTTTCCAATGGTTGCCTGCCAACGCAACTCTTAATGATAGCTGATGTAGATGGTGTGGTCTCATTGGGGGAAATCAAGCCCAAGTCAGCCAGTGTTCAATGGGGGGAACAGGGCCAATCGCTGCCTCCCACATCCCTTGCTACCGTGAGAAGCAACTCCAGCCAGCTACCCGTGATATGCTTCAAATTACTCCAAGAGGAGGTCACCCAGCAATTCAGCGACCTGCCCTTTATTGTTGTATCTGCGGTGAGAAAGCAATCGTATCAAGCAAGTGGATCAATGATCAAACAATCAGCTGCCTTCACCATGAAGCGGCCACTTTCACCGATGCCACGGATTTCAAGCGTCTCCACTTGACTTGATGCCAAAGCCTGCAGGGCGCCAAGTTTTTTCAGGACACGGCAAAGTGTTTTTTTCCATCCAAGGTCACAACTAGCATCACAGCTAGCACCACCATCACCGACATGTCTCGGGCCTTCCCTAGGGACGTTGCCTCTTCCTCGCCACATCGAAACCTCCTCACCGTCAGGCTCTTCAGATTTTCGTAGTGTGGGAGTGCATGCGCTAGTGCCAAGATCTCTTGGGCCGGAAGGCCTTCCAACACCAAGTGTTGACATTCGATCACCTTCTCCCTGAAAATCTTCTGTTGCAAATAGATCACTGCGTCAGCATCCGAGCGATGGGTGAACTTTGCCTGCTCCATTTGCTGCCTGAACTTCTCAGGGATCATAGGCACTCTCCCATTGAGATTAAAGGGTTCCTGGGTTTGAGACTCCGACCTGTCGATGTGTTGATGTTGTGCATTCACTCCTCTCAGAGATGACCATTCGATTTCTGCCATACACCACCCTCGCTGTAAGTATGGAGTTCTGTTGGCTTCCAAGAGTTTCAAGGGCTTCTCTTTCAAAGTCTTGCTGCCTGCATCATACACTCGGACAACAGCTTCTTCATCAGCCATCATGGTTTCCCAAACATGCTTTGGAGTAAGGGTTTCGATCCTGAATGTCAAAGTGCATTCGTGAGCATACATGAGGTGCATGTTGTTCATCGCCTTTCGAAAGCTCTTCTCTTCATGTGAGGTGGTTCTTTCGTATTGGAAGAGCGAGCTGTAATCATAGAAGATCCAAATGTCTGCTTCGAATGCAGCACCGTACAATCCCGTATGATTGACGATGTGCTGCAATTGGTGGCGACATGGATCTGGATGTTCCCGGGTTTCCCAGGCGTGGGAAATGGAACAAATGATCGCCTCCTGGGTCCCATTGGCCCAATTTTGCACTTCTTCGTGCGTCACCAACGCACTCTGACGCTCGCCGCCGCACGTGAAGGTCTCGGTTTCTGCTTCTTGCCGTCTCGGTAACGGCCGTTCGGAGAGAACCAAGTCTACCAAGTACCTCAGCGCAGATTTCTGCAAGGGTGCATTGGTGCATCACGTCTCATGTCAGACATGAACAGAAACATCTTTTGTCATGAGTTTCTGGCCTCTAGGGGGGTTGAAGCTGGCATTTGTGGCTCGCGTGCTGAATTGTTCAGCTATTTGAATGACTTGCCATCTTCATTTGAAATATCACTGGCTCTGTCCTTTTGGGCTTGAATTTTCACTAGCAAGAAGACGAGGAAGACAAAGCATAATTCTTTGCGTGTATATAACCATTGGTCCTGCTTTGGCTGCAATCTAAGGATTCAGTGATCGAGCACTTCCACATGCAAATCTGTACAGCACTGCACAGCACCGCACAGCACTGCACAGCACTGCTTTACTGTAGAGCACATAGCCACAACGACTGGGGGTCAAACTTGGCTCGTACCAACCGAACATCCGAATCTTGTAGGAATTGGGCGAAAGCCTGTGGATCTGTCAAGCCGTATCGAGCCTTGGGGCAAATTCAATGGCTCCACACGAGGAAATCCTTCAAAGAGAAGAAAAGATAAAGAAACAATTGCTAATATACTCATGTATCGTGCTGGAACTTTGAGCTACTGTTGAGATCTGTTAAGGCTGGCCTTCATACATGGACAGAATTCTTCCCCGGTCATGTGCCAACTTCATGACATTTTCTCCACTTGGTACTGCTCGGAACCAGGCTTCTGCGTCGGCCGCTTTGGCAATGGCCTTCGTCAATCAATGAATTTGTGAGGCAACCAATCCCCATCCAATATGCCGATATTAGACGGTTCCAAGACCAATAAATGTGGGAAAAATAATTGAATGAATAATGATCGAAGGAAGTTTAGAAGTCAAACTTCCGACAATATGGACAGATGAAAAGCAGAGAAGGGAAGAGGCAGAGAGAAGAGAAAGATTAGAAGAAAGAAGAGTAGAAGAGAAAGAGTAAGAAGAAAGAAGATGCAGATGCGAGAAAAGGTAGGAAAGTCGCGAAACACTGTGTTTTCCCGAATGCGTAGCAAGGGTTCCCGTTTCACTCTGAGGGTCTGGGGGTTGAGGGTGTGTTCGCTCGACGTTGCGTTCGCGAGCGCAACCGTCCGCAACCGTTCGCAACCGTTCGCAACCGTTCGCGCGATCCCCGTATGGCCGTGCCTATGGGAAGTTCTGCAAAGGTGGTCATTTTTGGAGGTTTCAGACGTGTCGTTGCTTCGTTTCGCGTGGCAGGCGTGGCACTTCGTGACATTCAGACGTGTTCTGCAACGTGTCGAAAGTCGTTTTGCGTGGCAGGCGCAATACTTTTGCGACATTTTCAGAAGATGTGTTGCAGTTTTCGTGGCAGGCACAGCACTTTGGGCGTGTCCATCGTCATTTTTCGTGGCAGGCGCAGCACTTTAGACGTGTCGCGTTGCGTGTTTTTTGTAAATCGCATTGGCAGGGCTGCGTCAAGTGGTGACAAGGTGCAAATTCCGTGGCAGGCGTGGCATTTTCTGTGATGTGCTGAAAATTGACGGAAGCCTCGCACGAAACATCGATTTTGAGGTTGCAAATTTTCAGGTTCTAAGGAAAACTCGTAGGAAAACGTTGATTTTGAAGCTACAAAGTGTGAAAATTGGAGGAAGTCTCGCACGAAATGCTCGTTTTGGTGCTCCCACGTGTCTCGTCTCGCGTCTCTGGTTTGCCCGTGGCCTCGCCGTGTCTATGGGGGAAGCTGCAAAACTTGTCCTTTTGTCATGTTGCCAACTATGAAAATTGGAGGAAGTCTCGTACGAAATGCTGGTTTTTCTGCATCCACGTGTCTTGTCTCGAGTCCCTGGTGTTCCTGTGGCGTCGCCGTGTCTATGGGGGAAGCTGGAAAACATCTCCTATTCGAATGTGTCCAAGCAGGTTGTCATGTCGTTTTGCGTGGCAGGCGTGGCACTTTGTGACATTCCAACCTGTTTGATAATGTGTCGAAAATGTCAAAATTGGAGGAAGTCTCGTACGAAATGCTGGTTTTTCTGCATCCACGTGTCTTGTCTCGAGTCGCTGGTTTTCCTGCGGCGTCGCCGTGTCTATGGGGGAAGCTGGAAAATATCTCCTATTCGAATGTGTCCAAGCAGGTTGTCATATCGTTTTGCGTGGCAGGTGTGGCACTTTGTGACATTCCAACCTGTTTGATAACCTGTCGAAAATATCAAAATTGGAGGAAGTCTCGCAGGAAATGCTTGTTTTTTTGCACCCACGTGTCTCGTTTCGAGTTTCTGGTTTTCCTGTGGCGTCGCCGTGTCTATGGGGGAAGCTCCGCACTCCACACTCTACACTTTACACTCCACACTTTACACTTTACACTCCTCACCCCACACTCTACACTCCACACTCCCCACTTTACACTCCACACTCCACACTCTACACTTTCCACTCCACACTCCGCACTCCACACTCCACACTTTACTGTACACTCCACACTCCACACTTTATACTTTACACTCCTCACTCCACACTCTACACTTTCCACTCCACACTCCACACTTTACACTCCTCACTCCACACTTTACACTCCACACTTTACACTCCACACTCCACACTCTACACTTTACACTCCACACTGTACACTCCACACTCCACACTCTACACTTTACACTTTACACTCTACACTATACACTCTACACTCCACACTTTACACTTTACACTCCACGCTTTCCACTCCACACTCCACACTTTACACTCCTCACTCCACACTTTACACTCCACACTTTACACTCCACACTCCACACTCTACACTTTACACTCCACACTCCACACTTTACACTCCTCACTCCACACTCTACGCTCTACACTCCACACTCTACACTCCACATTCTACACTTTACACTCCATACTCCACACTCTACACTTTACACTCCGCATTCTACACGTTACACACTCTACACTCCCCACTCCACACTTTACACTCCAAACTCCTTACTTCACACTCCACACTCCACACTCTACACTTTCCACTCCACACTGCAGACTGGTAACAAGGGAAACATGTACAAGACTGTTCAAATAAACTATTCCAGAAAGGTATTGTGCGTGACTGCATAACCATGTGTTTTGACATCTGTACCATTAACATACGTGTGAGCATTCGGGTTCGTGGGCTTCATCTTGTTTCCAATGATTTGGGGCTCCGGAGGGTCGAAAAGTAGGCTCGCTAAAGCGGCGGGTGCGGAGCCAGCTGGCCAGATGAGAGATGAAAAATTGCACGCCGTTGTGGCGCGAAGCACATTTGCAAGTCAAAATGTACAAAACACCTCAGCGTCGGACCACTTTTTGGAAGTTGAGATGTCGAAAAAGTGCACGCCGTTGTGGCACGAAGCACATTTCGAAGTCAAAATGTACAAAACACACCATGTACGGACCACTTTTGGAGGTTCAGATGTCGTTTCGCGTGGCAGGCGCAAGGGATTGCGGACCTTGTCAAAAGTGAGCAAAACCTGAAGGTTTTGTAGCATTTTCAACTACAACCACCACTACACCACACTACACTCCAATACATTACACTACACTACAACTACACCTTCACTACATTCTACTACACTACACTCCACTACACTACACTGCACTCAATTACACTCAATTACACTACACTTCACTACATTACAATACACTACACTCAACTACACTACAACTACAACAACAACTACACTCACTACACTCCGCTACACTAAATTACACTACACTACACTACATTACAGTACACTACACTCCACTACACTACACTACATTACACTACACTACCTTCCACTACACTTCACTACATTACACTACACTACACTCAACTACAACTACAACTACACTCACTACACCCCGCTACACTAAATTACACTATACTACATTACATTACACTACACTACACTACATTCCACTACACTTCACTACATTACACAGCACTACCTTACACTGAATGACACTGCACCACAGATAGACAGGTAGACAGATAAACAGACAGATAGATAGATAGATGCATCGATAGATAGATAGATAGATAGATAGGTAGGTAGGTAGGTAGAGAGAAAAATGGATAGATGGATACATAGATAGATACATAGATAGATAGATAGATAGATAGGTAGATAGGTAGATAGGTAGATAGGTAGATAGGTAGATAGGTAGATAGATAGAGAGATAGAGAGATAGACAGATAGACAGATAGACAGATAGACAGATAGACAGATAGACAGATAGACAGATAGACAGATAGACAGATAGACAGATAGACAGATAGACAGATAGATAGATAGGTAGATAGATAGATAGATAGATAGGTAGGTAGAGAGGAAAATGGATAGATGGATAGATAGATAGATAGATAGTCAGAGAAAGAGAGAGAAAGAGAGAGAAAGAGAGAGAAAGAGAGGAGACATCAATCACCTTTCGATCCATCAGTGGCTTCGCTCTGCCATCCGTGATTCACAACAACCAACCTTTCCTATAGGTTTCCTATTTTCGAAACTTCCGCCACCGCCTTGTGCGGTACTACTGGTACAAATACATACAAATACGACCAGACCTACATCATTTAGTCCTAGGCGCATGATGAACTGGTGGCCACAAGTGCTGTCTGGATTCCCTTGTGATATCTCCCTCGGTGAAAAACTAGGGAAGCTCGAAGCATCGCTGCTGAGCTCCCGGGCTTCTCGCACCTGGGAGGCGACATCCTGCCTGGTCACGACTGCGTGGATGGGTTGTTCGCCTTTGCCTCTCTAAATCGACATTGGACACAGGGCAAGGTTGATTCATACGAGCGCATGCCAAGAAGGGAAATGGTTCCCTGCTCAGTCGATTTTGGGTTGTGTTTGTTTGAACCACACGCGACATGTCCTGAAACACTGGCAAAAAGCGAGATAGTTGAGCGAGCATCGGCCATGTTTGCCTTTTCAATCCTTTTCAGCACCTGTAAGGCACCGGTACCCACAACTGGGAGCCCTGAGCAACTGCTGCCCGCCTAGTTTTCGCTGTACCAGGAATCGAGTCGTCAGCTTCAACCTGACGAGGCCGCCCAAGGTGACAAGGTTCGACATCAAAGAAGCATTGATACTCTCAGCTTCCACAAAGAAAAACGAACAAGAACATCTCTCTCTCTCTCTCTCGTTCCACATGTTCAACTCTGGTTACGGTTGTCAAACCTCGGCACGTGGTCAAACTGTGGCAGATTGTCAAGCTTATGGTCCATGACTCAGTTACAGCATCAGAGGAGCTGCGGAGCATTGCGGAGCCTGAGAGTCGCCAAGCTCCAAGAAGTACTTGGACAGTTTCACGATGTCCAGGTGACCTTCACCTCAGCTACGCTGAGCAAAACACCTGGTCTCCTTGACATATCTTGACATGTGTCTGGAAATCGCTCTATGGTTTACTCAGTTTACTCAGTTTACTATGTACCCTCCGAAGACCACTGCAAGCGGCTCAACACCAAAAAGAAGCACCTGCATCTGTGGCATCTATGGGTTGGCGGGTCTACTTGCGTGCAGGGCGCTGTTCCTCGGCATCTTCCGAAGACTGGCCTCGAGCCGTTTGGACATGGCCCGGCAACCATCCAATCGTTCAAGGCTCAGCTGAATACACGGAACGTTCACAGGATGTCACAGTTGGTTCTTTTCTGGAAAGGATATGGTATGGTCTATTGAAAGACAGGTGGTACAGCAGGGTCTAAAGTCTAAGCATGCGTAAACCAGTTATGTATGGAATGACCAGGATTGGCTTTGCAGTCTTGTGACAAACTTTAAAGAATGACAACCTCCAAATTCCACGGTGCAGCTCCCACCTGGCCTGGACTTTGTCCTGGCTCAGCTCACTTCCTGTGACACCAACGTCTTAAAATGTCAACCTGCGGGTCCTAGCATAGACACACCAACAAGTAATTATACCCGTATTACTATTACAGTGGATGTTTTCGAATTTCTGCAGAGGTTTAGCTTGGGTCAAAAACATCACAAACATCACAAACATGTCTACATGTTTCTATGTGATTATTACATGTTTCTACTCTTGTTTGGTACGGTTTGGGAGTCTCTGCATGCTGGCTCCACCTGGACCTGTTGCTCCCTGACAGACTTGGCTTCACGGCTGTTCCAAACCCGATCCTGCCTCTCATCACTTCTTGCAGCTCTTCCTCTGACAATGCGCCTTTACCGTCCGTGTCGAACTGCTTTAGATAGTCGAGCAATTCCTGCGCAAAGTGCAAATTGCAGAGACCATCTCCAAATTGCACATGGTGACAAGGAGCGAGTTGAACCATGTCAAATCTTAATGACAGCAAGCTTGGTGCATCCCTCATGGGTCGTCAGGTTGGCCTGAACTTTCGGAATCAGCTTTCCCAATTCCTCCTGCATGGCAGCTTGATGCAGCTTGCGGGCTAGAAATCCAAGGATCTGACCCCTGTATCCACCAGTGGAGATTGCCTGGGATTCCACCAAGCCTTTCAACAACTTCTGCCCTGGCTGGATCTTTGAGTCTTTAAGACACCCAAAAAGAGTTGCTTCACTTCCGAAACATTTGCAAGAGCCACATGAAGCACACTTCAGACTTCTCACACACATAAAACTTCATCAAGCACGGTTCATCTCAGTCCTCTATGAAACGGTGAAACATCTTTTGGTCAATGTATTTTGGACCACCGAGATCTGCCAAATGCTTTTTGACCTCATTGCAAAAGCAGGGAGATAGAAATGATAGAAACACTTCAACAGTTTATGAACATTGACACGAGAGGGAAGCAATAGTCTCAATAGTCTCAAGGCAAAACACAACAGCAGCAGTTGCCGTCAAAGATCCTCATCTTCCGTGGGGTTCATCCCAAGAATAGCCATGGCATGTCCAAGTCGTTCCGCGGGAACTCCAGAAGGCTGGGAGAAATATCTGAAGACCGCGTTCGTGGAAGCGATGACATCGTTGAACATCGTGCTGTAGGCCTTGGCAAATCGATCCCAGACTAGGCGCGTCTGGGGGCTGACATGTCTTCAGGTCAACCAGACGAGTGGGAGGTGTCGGAAAAAAATGTTCACAGTTCACATCATTGAATCATACTACACTCGATGCAAGAACCGCAGATCAGAGTTGTCCACTTCATGACTGTGTAGATTGTGTAGATTCCTTCTTTCTTCAGTAATTCTATATATTGTATATAATTGAACCCTCCCGGAATATTCCAGTGTTGCCGCAAGACTGTGCATCTGCCTTGAAATCAGTAATGCATCGAACATCTATCAGAACCGACGGATCTAAATCCGTTCATAAAGAAAGCCTCTGAGCAAGGACAGATTTGTTCCCGCTTGTACCGTTAAAGCCGGGTCCCCATCTGTATCTCAAGTATCAGTCGAGACCAGCGGGAACTACATTTCGACACCCAGTAGTACTCAGTATAGTCCCACTCCTGAGCCTCCAAACTGCTGGGCCACTGGCGCTCTCCTGTCTGCCACCAACAATGAATCATGTCCAGTTTCGAAATATCTTATGCAATATGGTGTGTGTGTGTATGTCAAAGACCTTCCAAACTTGAATCTATGACAATAGGCTTAGGCATTGTATGGGAACAATCATGTTCGACATTCGCGTGCAAACTTCATGGGAACTCTTTTATAGCCCTGTCAACAAACACTCCATTCCACTTCAGAGGGCACGCTATCCTCAGCAGCTCGGGTCTCTCTGCCTCAGAAACTGCAGGTAGAAAACCATTGAGTTCGCAAATGACATCATAATTGGGATCCGCTCCTGCATACCTGACGGGAGGCATACCCTACCACCAGGTCCAGGTCCTCTTAAATACTTCACAAATACCACAGTGTGACATGACTGGCATTATCCAAAGAATCTTGCGACGATCTGCTTGCGGTGGCGAAGGATTGTATGCGACTTGAAGCATGCCGCGTCAAGGTGACAAGATGTGTGAGGATTGTATGACAAGCTTCCAAAGTCGATTCAAGACTCTGAGATCCTGACATTGTTCATCGGTTGTGCCTGCCTCGGCGAAGGCAGAAAAGGGCACCCCAGACAATTTCACGGGGAATGAAGGACAAACTTTCAACCCACCCATCGAGCCTAAGAGGTGCACTCTGCGCACTCTGGCTGGAAACCGCAAAAATCATTTTGTGTCAGGTCAAATGAAGCAATGAGCGGAAATAGTTTGGGTCTCCTAACCGGACCAAAAGAAGGAACCCCTTTTTGAAAGACCGCCCAACTGCACCGAATTCAATTATCAATTTTTGGCCAAACTACCCAAAAACAATTGGCTACATGACCAGCCAACGGCTAGAAGCTGAAAGCCAACAAGCTTCAAATCCTCCAGCTCCCGCATGTGCCTCGGCATCAGCTGATACGGCATCCTTGACCACCTTGCAGCGCAGTCACATCCACTCTTGTTTTGGTCCAGTGAACGGAGAAAAGGCTCATAAACTCAGCATGTGGACATGTACCAAATGTGCGTGCTCTGATAGTGAAAGAAGCGTCTATAGTCTATATATGGTAAAGTGTCTGACATGGCCGCAAGTGACTGCAATTTTGAGACTCAAGCTGAGCTCAATGTTATCTTGAATGAAACGTGCAGAAGTCTAAAGCAACAAAGCTCTAGCCCCTGGTCATTCATGCCTGAATTTTGACTGCTTTGCTATCTGCTTCACTCGCAGATGCTCTCTCTTTCTCTGCCTTGCAACTGACTTGTCAGGCCTTGAAACTACGTGCTGAGAAAAAGTAAGCAAGCTGCTCCACTGCTACATGTTTCCATTTCCAAACCACACCAGGTCCACTGCTACATGGTTTTGTGGGCCACAACCAGAAGTGGCGCTTACACAGTCTTGCTTAAGATTGTCTGGTGCGTTTATTCGAATTGACGTCTGGTTGTAAGGTTGAAGGTTGAATCACGTGGGTTAAGAGCGCCCGCATGAGAACAGTTCTGCCATCTTTGACCTGAAAACATCATGATATATTTTCCCAATGTCTATTCTGTCTGAAGAAAGACACGTGCTAACACCTCGTTAACCTTGATTCATGAGAAGAAAATTGAAAAACAGTGAACTACTGCGAAAACCAAAGACACATATTTCGCTATACAAGTGGAGAAAAGGAATTCTGTTTGTTGCTTTGGCGTTCCCGGTGTACATCAGGCTGTCCTCCTGAATCTAAACTCAATGCAAGAAAGAAATGAAGGAAATGAAGCACTATGTTTTGATTTTGTCACAAAATACGTATAGATTTCGATAGCAAACCATCGTAGGATATCGTAAGTCAATTCCCACCGGCGATTCCCCCAATAGCTGCCATGGCTGCCTCCGATGGCTCAAGCATGTCCTGCGGCAGATCAAGGGATGACAAGACCAGCCACATGAGCCCCATCAATAAGATATGCTCTCAGTCGACCAAAAAAATTGTGAAGATCCCAAAGAAACCGATTTCTGTTCGTGTGGATGTAGACAAGGGATGACAAGGGTAATGTACCGAGAGCCGCCTCAGAGTCACCCAGCTCCAGAAAACACGTTGCCAGCTCCACAATATCCAGCTGACCTTTACCTCAGGCGTCAAAACGAACTGGGGTCCTTCTCTTGGAGAATGGGTAAGGCCCAGAAAACCATGAGTTTGAATCATGTTTGAACATTCACCATCCATCTTGTTGGTGGTACCAATCGACCAGAGCACAGAATGGAAATTGTGCACTTCATGACCTGGCAACTTGCGAAGATGTGGTGAACGGATGTGGATACTGGCTTACTGGACCTGGCAACTTGCGAAGATGTGGTGAACGGATGTGGATACTGGCTTACTGACTTACTGGTTCCATCCAACACTTTGGCTAACGTTCAGCTTGCAGCTTCCATCCGAGTTGCTGTTACTTGGCATCTTTGCGACACTTGCCTCGCGACCCAGCGGAATCCCAAGCTGTCTAGGATTCTGCGAGTCGCTGGTAGTGAGAAGAAACCGTGGTGAACGCAAGGCCGGAGTCTCTTCAGTTTCTGAAGGAAGACTAAGACACATCTCCTTTCCCTTAATAAAGGGACTGAAAAACACTGAACTACAACCAAAAACAAGTGTGTCACTGAACAAGTGAAAAAGTGATTTTGGTTGTTGCTTTGGCGTTCCAGTTGCAGACCCTCGTTGCTGCAGTTGCTGCAAGTTCTGATTCTTCCCCAACAAGCCTGAAGCTTCTTCTGGCTCAGCTCACTTCCTGGACGCAAAATGTCCGATTTCAACCCACAAATTGTACTGAAAGACTCCATAAAACAATACAATGTCAAATATATGTCAGCCATGTATAAAATCCCAAAGCACCCGGGCATCAACCAATCAACCTAGCATCATGCATTTGCTCTCTCAAAATTCCATCATTCGATACATCCCGGAATACATCCGATGGAAATCCTTTCCTGACACTTCTGATCTCACCGCGCCTCTGATCGCTGCTTGAACTTCTTCAGTGGACAAGGTGCCCTTGTTGTCCGTATCATATTGCTTCAAACAGTCAACCACAGCCTGCGCATCTCACAAGCAGCACATACCAGGGGTCTCTGAAATCCGGGAAAATTTGGCAGCTTTAGATCTCAAGGAGTCATTACAGTTTGGCCAGGTGCAAAGGCAATCAATTTGGTTGTCGTCATTTGACTGGCCTGAACCTGTTCGAGATACTTTGTCAATTCGTCCTGTGCCGTGCAGCTTGCAAAGCTATGCAAAGCTGAAAGAGAATCGGTGAAACAACAGGAACATCAAGCATTCTCAAGGCACAATGTTCAACTCACAGGAATGAAACATCATGAAACATGAAACTTCACGAAGAAAAACCAGAATTGGACCATTCCCGAACCTACTGTCCGACTGTCCTGGATGAAACGGTGAAACGTCGCTTGGTCGATGTACTTTGGGCGACCAAGATCTGCCAAGTGTTTGCAGACCTGATTGCGGAAGCTCAAAACCCAAAGGGACAGTTCAACAACGGACCAAACATGACCAAACTGTCCAGGGAGGTGCGATTTCCTCAAAACCCAAAAGCCCTATCTGCGGCCAAAGATCCTGATCCTCCGTGGGGTTCATCCCCAGGATCCGCATGGCCTGCCCGAGGCGTTCCGCCGGAAGTCCTCGAACTCCATCGCTGAAGTGCGCGAAGACCAGGTCGATGGAACTCATGATTTCGTCGTAGAGCTTGCTGTGGACCTCGGCGAAGTTGGCGTCCCCCCACTGAGGGTCCATCTCGGTCAGCCCTGAAAAGACACACAGGGAGGAACCACTGACCGCCCGTACAGAAATAGCGGAAACCACGAAAGGTGAGCTTGGAATATGGTTCTCTGTTCCCAAATCTTGTGAGGAATTTGGGTTCTTCTGACCTTGCTGCGTGCAGTGTGAGAACCTCGAAGCCAAGCAAGCTAGTGGAGACCTTATCAAAAGTGCCAGCACCATGCAACACGCTTCCAGCCCCTCACGTTTTCCTAAGCCTCCCAACTTCCGGGCCGGTGTGCTCCTGTCAACCATACGGCTTCACGAACATGTCTAGCAAATGTCAACATGTTTTATGACAGCAAGCTCCTGGGCGGTCGGCATAATGCCACTCCCTCAGAAAATGCATAAGCTGAGGCTGAATGAAGACACTTTGCAAACATCAGCAGTGCGACTTGATTCCGTCGTAGTTTGGCGGACACCAAAGATTCTTCTGAATCCAAGACAGATGATTTGGAAATTTATTGATGTGAATGGGAAATCAACCACAGGAATCGGACAATAACGTTGCATCCATCACTCAATAGGTAATACTGTACGAAGGGTGGGGTTTGGGCCGGTGCACATGTTTCAACTCAACTATTGACATGCAATCAAAACACAGAGCCAAAAACACCAAATAGATCCATAGAATCCATAGATCATGCCATGTTCAGCAAACCTTCCAGCCAAAAAAAAAGTTCAACAACAACAAACGTCCGAGGTTGATTTCGAAAGCCTAAGACTGCGACATCCTTCTGTTTGGTCCGCCTGCGAAAACGCACAGAGTGACAACCTCATCGCTTTAAAGAAACTGTCAACATCACGCCATGAGCAAATCTCGCCATGTCCAAACCTCGAGCTGAACGCAAAAAAAACTAGACGACGGTTGGCCCGAGAGCGAAAAAAATGTTTTTCAAGCAGCTCTGATAATGGTAGTCGTAAAAAATAGTCGGTGAATGGTTGGTGAATTTTATATGAGCTATGGAGGGATAAGTTGTGGAAAGTAAGATTGATTAAGAAGAGGATACATGTGACAACCCATGCATATGCACTGTGCTGCTTGGTAAAGGGCATCATATGACACGTGTCTTGCCACCACAGAGAGACATAGATGGAGAGAGAGAGAGAGAGAGGGGGAGAAATAAAGGGAGATTTGACGTTCAATATCCATTTCGTGCGACAGGGTTGCGGCGGACTAACTAAAATGTTCAACATCCATTTTGTGCGAAAGGGTTGCGGCGGAGAAAGTAAAATCGTAATTTTACCTCAGTTTTTGGACGTCCGATGTGCACGAAATGCTACGCCTGTCACGTTTCGAGAGAAATATAGAAAGAAGAGCGAGAGAAAGAAAGGAAGAGATAGAGAGAGAGAGAGAGAGAAGATCTGCAGATGCGAAGGTGCGGGGAAGTAGATCAGCAGATGTGAAGGTGTGAAGATGTAGATCAGCAGGTGTGAAGGTGTGAAGATGTAGATCTGCAGATGTGAAAGTGTGAAGATGTAGATCTGAAGATGTGAAGGTGTGAAGATGTAGATCAGCAGATGTGAGGGTGTGAAGACGTAGATCTGCGGATGTGAAGGTGTGACGATGTAGATCTGCAGATGTGAAGGTGTGAAGATGTAGATCTGCAGATGTGAAAGTGTGAAGACGTAGATCGCAGTGAAACGTCGTGGCTCAGAAGTGCTAACCTTAGTGCGTAGCACAGCGCTGGACGCATTCCAGTAATCTGATTTACTTCAAGACCAAACACATCCATCAAAAACCCAGGCCGGTACCAAACTGGCACAAGAGTCACCTCAGAAAACAGAAATCAATTTTCAATCCAACCATTCCATGTCCACGGAAAGTCCCTGCAGAACATGGAACAATCACAAAACAACATTCTCCAAAGAATGAACACAAAACCATCTCTGCATCCACTGCAAAATCGCAATTTTACCTCAGTTTTTGACGTCCAACGTCCATTTCGTGGGAACGGGTTGCGTTGGACACCTCAAAATCGCAATTTTACCTCAGTTTTTGACGTCCAACGTCCATTTCGTGCGAAAGGGTCGCGATGGACAAACTAAACTCGCAATTTTTCCTCAGTTTTTGACGTCCAACGTCCATTTCGTGCGAACGGGTTGCGCGGGGACACCTTAAATCGCAATTTTTCCTCAGTTTTTGACGTCCAACGTCCATTTCGTGCGAAAGGGTTGCGCGCGACACTTGAAACTCGCAATTTTTCTTCAGTTTTTGACATTCAACGTTCATTTCGTGCGAAAGGGTCGCGATGGACAAAGTAAAGTCGCAATTTTTCCTCAGTTTTTGACGTCCAACGTCCATTACGTGCGAAAGGGTTGCGGCGGACCAACTAAAATCGCAATTTTACCTAGGTTTTGGATGTCCAACGTCCGTTTCGTGCGAAAGGGTTGCGTTTCGTGGTGCTCCGGCGGCACCGCCCCCTTCTTAAGAAAGAGATAGAAAGAGGGGCGAGAGAAGATCCGCAGATGTGAACGAGGAAGAGGAAGTAGATCTGCAGATGTGAAGGTGTGAAGATGTAGATCTGCAGATGTGAAGGTGTGAAGATGTAGATCAGCAGATGTGAAGGTGTGAAGATGTAGATCTGCAGGTGTGAGGGTGTGAAGATGTAGATCTGAAGATGTGAAGGTGTGAAGATGTAGATCAGCAGATGTGAAGGTGTGAAGATGTAGATCAGCAGATGTGAGGGTGTGAAGATGTAGATCAGCAGATGTGAAGGTGTGAAGATGTAGATCAGCGATGTGATGGTGTGAAGATGTAGATCAGCAGATGTGAAGGTGTGAAGTGTGAAGATGTAGATCAGCAGATGTGAGGGTGTGAAGATGTATTATAATGGCTGCTTTTTTACGAAGAACCCTTCGCAGGCGCTCTCGGGAATTAAAGTTTGACAGGAAAAGAATGCAAAAATGACCAAATGTTACTTTCGTCTTGAACACAAATAGCTTACTTGGCTTACTTTGGCCATTTCTTCAACCAGTCGAACTTGAATCTGTTGAAACAGCAGGAGTTGCTGGATCTTAATCTAAATGAACTCCAAATGAACAAACCAACGGCCCACGTCACTCTGCCAACCCACGATACCCGTGTGCACCTCAGCAGTAGCTGACACAGCACGTTTGGCCTCGCCATGTAGGTCAAAATGTTGTACGGCTGGGGTGGAACCACACCACAAATATGCAGAGGCACGGGGACACAAGCGACAACCACTCACAGTGGGAGACGAGGCAAAGGCACTGGCTCAAAAAATACTACAGAATAGTACAGGTATGTACAGACATGTACAGACAATAAAATGATTTCAAATGATTGTGTGAATCAGCTCTGCCACTCAGCTCTTGTGGGCCTGAGATGAGCCGCCAGAGCCCATGACGACGTCCTGGGAGTCGACAACTCGACAACTCCACCACCAAAAACCGGAAGTGTTCATGGCCTACGATGATCTACGGGAAAATCATGACATTTGTGCCATGACATTTGTGCCATGACTCCCTGGGACCCCTATTGATAGGGGATATGTGTGGATCTCTCGAGGTGTCGCCTCAATGTTTCAATGTCTGACGTATGACGTGTTTGTTCCATTTTGTCCCTTTGGACCTATACTGCAACTGGTGGCCAAAAAAGAACCGGAGAAATGTCGATTTCTCAAGATTTCTCCTCAAATTGAAAATATGTCGAGATGTCGAGTGTGGTGATCTAGGAATCTAGGCCTGACAAGCTAAGGCAGCCGTCCTTTGAGGAGGTCGACTCGGCGGTGAAACGCCTCGAAACGCAGAGACCAAACCTGAACTGTTTGGGAAACGGATGCAACATGAAACCAATAGAAACACTCGAAAACCCCCGGGGAAAGACTGAAAATTGCATGAAAGTGCATCATTGGACCTGAGATTGCAATGGAATCTACAATGTGGAATCATGTGGAACCAATATGAGCCTCAGCAAGAATATGTACTGCTGAGAGGACTGTCAGCAATCTGCTGGACAACTTGCCCTATGCACTTCCAGCTGCGGCTCCGCGCTCTGGCTTTGCGCCGTTCAACGAGCTCGGAATCGCGTTCAAAGAAAACGACCAAAAAAAAAACTTGTCACACAAGTGAGAAACCCTTTGCTACGGCGAGTTTGGAATCTTTGTTTGACGTGTTTCCAGTGTTTGTTCCTCTGCGGTTTGACGAGCTTTGCTGCGCAATGTTGAGCTGCAACCTGCACCATGGGGGCCACCTGGATCATCCGGGAGTCCTGTCCCAAAAAATGGCACTGCTTTTGATTTTTGGCGACCAATGGATCCACCAAATGAATCACACTCAAATTGGGAGAATTTTTGCAATGCCAATTTTGGAATGACCTTCCATTTTCTGTGCAATTTTTGGAGCTGCAAACTGCAACAAGTCGCAAAGAAGGGCCAACTGAGAGTCGTCCGTTCGGGTCCCTCAAATACTGAACAAATGAATCCGTATCATTTCTGCCACTTCTTGCCAAAGTCCTCAAACGCAATGCACAGCACGATGGAAGATGTGTGTTGATCCCAAACATACAATTGCTTGGGAGGTCTTCGGAAGGTTTCACTCTAGTGAGGTTCTCAGAACTTGTTGGGCCGGCCCGTGGCATCAGCCGAGTTTGATTTCCCAAATATAAGGACTCTCAAAGTATCCCATCAAAAGTGCTGCCCAATTTGGGCATCCCCAAGCACATCGCTTGGAAAAAATCACAGGAAACGCAAGGTCCGCATCCACTGCAACCGGTGCAACCCTTTTTTCTCAGCCACGAGCAACGGTCGCCGGCTGTGGCGATCAAACAGCAAACGGCGTGCTCAGCAACAGCCGGGTTTGGGTTTTCGCATGCCTCTGGCGCTAGGGGGATTATTGTGATGGTCATCAAAGTCCTCCACCAGACCTATCTGTATATTTATGTAGATATACATACATTTACATGTTTTAAGCCATCACGTTTATCCACATTGGGGTAATTGATTTTGGATGGCATGTGGGAAACTATATATAAAATATATGTTTGCTAACAGAAATATTCAAATACATTTATATACATATAGATACGTATATATATATTATAATATAAATATATATATATATATATATTGGTTGAAGGGATGATAATTGTGTAATTACGCTGTATTCAGTTGTATAAATAAAGGTATTGTCCGCTCCCAGAAGATCCAGAAGCACAAGAACAAATTCTTACCATGGAACGACCCGAATGGCGCATCCTGGACTTTCAACCAGCGAACCATCGCTTCCTTGCTATCCGTCATCTTTTCGCTTCTTGGTGATTGATGTGGTGAATTCACCATATATTTCCAAGGGCAACCCCACAATCCTTTGTTGCCTTAGATTCTTGTTGGATACGCCACAGTGATGGCCCTGAGCAGTGCTATAGCGGTTCCATGGGGTGAGAACAAGTTAAATGGAGGCAAAACCACCCGCAACTATATTATGGTTATGGGTCAAAACCCGTCAAAACCCGTCAAAGTTCTCACCAAAACAGCTGGGAATTTTAGGGATGTTCATCCAACCAAATCATCATATTATTGATGGTTATATATATATATACAATTATATTATATATGTATATACAATTATACCGGTATACCGGTATGTCCTCTATTCCATTATACCACCATTTTTGGCTAAATCCTCATCAAATCCATGCCTTGGTCTTTGCAAAGCTCTTGGTTTTCTGCTCCCGCTGCATCTCCGACCATATCCTAGGTCGCTTTTGGTTGAGCGGTGGTTTTCTGACATGGCCACGTTGACTCATGGAACATCGTCGATAGTCAATCTTCCAGGTTGACTTCCCTTGAAACTTGAAGTGCAAAAAAAAACAACTAGCAACTCTTGAGACACTGGATATTTGGAGCATCTAAATCCTGTCACGCGTTTAGAAGGTGGCAAGTCCAGAAATGAGGCCCGCAATGCTGGGTGACCATGCATGGCAACTCCAAAAAGTGATTCGAGTAGAAACTATGGTCACTACCAACTCAGGAGTACAAGCTTAGATACTCATCTCGCGAGTAGCCCAACAGTTGTTGCTGGGACCTCCATCATTAGATATCTGTAGAATCAGAAAGTACAGTGACTCGAAGTCGTGTTTCATCACAGCTGGATATGGCGACATCATCTCACCACATCTCCAAGATTCTCATCCATATCAGCCATGCCAACGAAGGGAAGGGCGGGAAGTACTGTGGTTTCTGCTGTTGTGCCGAGCTTGCGGGAATGTCCCGTCCATCAGATCCCAAGAAATGGAATGATGCCGATGTTTCAAAGGGGACACGTCTGATCTTGGAAGATCTGTCTTGTTGCAGCCTTGCAGGTCGTATTCAAAAATGTTACAGTAACTATCAGTAACTGCTATTTTTCTCCATCCAACGTAGACATTTTAAACATTTTGACATTTGCAAAACCAAACGCAGTCAGTGGCTGTCATGTCCGTGTCGACTTCGGAATGGATGTCCTGATGATCCTGATGGTAACTGTGGCAAAGCCATTTCAACAAAACAGTCAGTCCATTCCTGTAGATGGAGGTTTCCATAAATGGAGGTACCAATAGCTGGATGGTTTACTTCATGGAAAATCCCATATATAAATGGATGAGAACTGGGGGTACTCCTATCTTAGGAAACCCCCATATAGTTCCAGCAGGGTTTTTGTTCAAGACTTTTTTTTAATAAATCACCCTCAACAACCCCACTATATACTATATACTGTACTGCTGTAAGATTTTGAAATCCCCCAGTTCAAAACCCTTCGTGTTTTCTGTTGTTTGGCCCCCACTTATGCGTGTCAATACTTCCTTTTTCCCACTTGTGGCATACAGAATTAAAAAAACTCCTGATTCGAACCATTTGGGCGCCATTATACCAACTAGGCCGCATACCCAATAAAACCACAGATTGGGAATTGGTTTTTTGTGGATTTTTTGGGACACAAAAATCTTTGCGATCGCCATTCCAGGTCGAAATTCCCAATCTATCTATCTTTGGATCAAAAAAACAACGTGCATTGGGGCATCTCACAAGTCGCAGGTGCTCCAGATCAATCGAAGATGATCATGATTAAACAATAAACATGTAGGTCTCGCACACTCAGGAGCAAGCAGACTGTCCGCCGCATCCGCTTGGAGTTGACTTTTGAACGGGGCTCAGCTGAGATCTCTAGAAATTAATGCAGAGTTCGAAACCCATCTTCTTCTTTTCCTCGATCACTTGCTTCAAGGCCTGGCTGTGCGCAGTCCCCTTTTCTTTGCTGGATGGCACTATGATGTCCCCCACAGCGCTAGCCCTCAGCACCCTCAGCACCCTTCAGTCACGGTCAACAGAATCTGAACCCCAACACCAAGAATAAGCAGAGGCACCATGAGCAGCCACTTGGAATCCCGGGACAGGCCTTCACCCCCTCAGCGCCGATGGAATTGCAACCCACATCGATGCTTGTCACGGAAGTGTTCGTCTTCAAAGCTTCAGCTAGTGCCTGGCCAAAGGGAAAGCGACTTGGAAGTAGATCAAAGCTGACATCTGTGAGACCTCATGAAATACAAAGGAGACACAACTCTCAGTTTCCGACTCTGAGTTTCCAAAGAACAAATCCCGCAAATGTCGTTTACAGAGGTGCATTTCCAACCAACATCATGCCAATATCCCAGTAGAAAGCATACCAGTACCACATCATACCACACAAAATGAGTTCAAGTCAAAAATCAATTCACCCATTCACCCACTTCACTGACACTCAACAAGATTTGGAACCTGGAAATGCGAAGGATGAGCATGAGCAAACTACAAAGTCTTTCAAGCTGGCGACAAAGACACCATGAGCAGCCACTTGGAATTCCGGGAAAGGCCTGAGCGCCCTCATCGCCAATGGAATTCCAAGACAGGCCGATGCTTGTCACAGAAGTGTTCGTCTTCAAAGCTTCAGCTAGTGCCTGGCCAAAGGGAAAGCGACTTGGAAGTAGATCAAGGTTGACATCTGTGAGACCTCATAAAATACAAATGAGACACAACTTTCAGTTTCCGACTTTCCGACTCCGAGTTTCCAAACAACAATTCCCACTGGATTCAGGGCAAATGTCTTTGACACAGAGATGCACTTCCAGCCAATATCATGCGAATATCCCAGTAGAAAGCATCCCACATCATACCACACAGAATGAGTTCAAGTCAAAAAGAAATTCACCAACTTCACTGACAGTCAACAAGATTCGAAACCTGGAAATGCGAAGGATGAGCATGAGCAGACTACAAAGCCTTTCAAGAAGCTGGCGACAAAGACACCATGAGCAACCACTTGGAATCCCGGGACACAAAAGGCCTTCACTCCCTCAGCGCCGATGGAATTGCCAGACAGGTCGATGCTTGTCACGGAAGTGTTCATCTTCAAAGCTTCAGCTAGTGCCTGGCCGAAGGGAAAGCGACTTGGAAGTAGCTCAAAGCTGACGTCTGTGAGACCTCATGAAATACAAAGGAGACACAACTCTCAGTTTCAGACTCCGAGTTTCCAAACAACCATTCCCACTGGATTCAGGGCAAATGTCTTTGACACAGAGATGCACTTCCAGCCAATATTATGCCAATATCCCAGTAGAAAGCATACCACATCATACCACACAGAATGAGTTCAAGTCAAATAGAAATTCACCCACTTCACTGACAGTCAACAAAAATTGGAAACTGGAAATGTGATGGATGAGCATGAGCAGACTACAAAGCCTTCCAAAAAGCTGGCGACAAAGACACCATGAGCAGCCACTTGGAATCCCGGGACACAACAGGCCTTCACCCCCTCAACGCCGATGGAATTGCGCCACAAATTGATGCTTGTCACGGAAGTGTTCGTCTTCAAAGCTTCAGCCAGTGCCTGGCCAAAGGGAAAGCGACATGGAAGTAGATCAAATCTGACATCTGCGAGACCTAATGAAATACAAATGAGACACAACTCTCAGTTTCCGACTCTGAGTTTCCAAAGAACAATTCCCACTGGATTCAGGGCAAATGTCGTTTACTCAGATACATTTCCAGCCAATATCATGCCAATATCCCAGTAGAAAGCATGCCACATCAGACCACACAAAATGAGTTCGAGTCAAAAAGAAATTCACCCACTTCACTCACGGTCAACAAGATTTGGAACCTGGAAATGCGAAGGATGAGCATGCGCAAACTACAAAGTCTTTCACCAAACTGGCGACAAAAACACCATGAGCAGCCACTTGGAATCCCGGGACACAAAAGGCCTTCACTCCCTCATTTCTGATGGAATTGTTTTGCAGGTTGATGCTTGTCACGGAAACGTTCGTCTTCAAAGCTTCAGCTAGGCCCTGGCCAAAGGGAAAGCGACATGGAAGTAGGCTGAAATCTGTTCCAGAAAGGATACGATTCAATCATTTTCAAGTATTTAAACAAGAGTGGTCGTCCCATGTCTAACTCAGTGCAAACCACATGCGGCAAAAATTGTCCAGAGAATCAACAGATGCGTATCCTGAAAATCTCGGTTCGACAACAGTACTTGGAACTGTTCAGCAAATGTCACACTGGCTGAAACGTTGCTTGGGAACAGTGAACCAACTTATGTCGATTCGATTGACACAAAAGAAAAAACGCTGCAGAACTGCCCCAGGTGGTTGTCCAAAAATTAGCAGAAGCCCTTGGGGAAAACTGAATTGAAAAGTGGTACAAAGTCCAACAAGTTCCCTTCCAGAAAGGAGCACGTTGTCACCTTGCGCCGCAACACAGGAAACCTGCCTGAAGACGAACCGGTGCTTCAAAAGGGCGTCTGCCGGGGACTTGATCATCACTCTCCTGTTGAGCATGCCACAAGACACAGAGGTAAACTTGGCAAGTGTTTCGAAAAGTTGAACAAGATAAGTATGAATTTGGATATCAAAGCAGCGGCAACGGAAAAACTCAAGCCACTCCGCATTGTGATGCATGAAGCATGAAGCCACTCAGAGCCCCAGGCCTTGGCTCCGTCGTCCAAGTCACTGTCAGCAGTGGTGTCTCTGACTGAAGTCTTCCTCTGAAGCAAAGCATCTGCAAGAGCCTGGCTGAAGCCAAGGTCGAGTCGAAGCTCGCTGTGACAGACGCACGTTCCCAAGTGTGAAAGAGCAATCCACACTAGGCCCCTGAGAGCTAATATGAGAAGCTTTGGCCGCATGCTGAGACAACAACTTGAGACTCTGTAGATTAGCCCGGCAGAGAGCCAGCCAAGAAATTGACTGTGGGTTAGCACCCCAAAAAAACATACACCTCAACTGAGTCGTATTAAAAACCCCGTTTGAAAATGCTGATCCCAACCACAAATCATCGTAATTCCATGCGGCGGTCTTCATGTTACAATAGGACCTCCACATTTCCAGATTATATATTAATATTGCCAGACGGAATCTTGGATGCTTTTGAGATACGGAGAAATAGAACAATGAACGGTTGTTTTGTATTGTGTACAGAAGATGGAGACATCTACGGTATAAAAGGGTCATATATGTTTATATAAGGCTATGTGAAGGATAATTACCTAAAAATATGGTCCTAAACGGGGTACAGTACCTCCATTCCAGCCCTTTGAAATGCCCATCAAAGGAATGGATTTTGAGTGCCGGCAATGCAAACGACATGCTCTGTTATTTTTTTCCACATCAATGGCTACATGTATTCTTGCCTTTTCTTTGTGCGCCTCAAAATTCAAATGAGAAAAGAAAACCAAAACGGGTCAAATGGGTCTATGATCACCTGGGACGACTTTGGATGTCGTTCAGATGTCGTTCAGATGTCGTTTCGGATGTCGTTCAGATCGCCGGTGGGATTCAAAAATTTGACATATTGCTCTGTGACCGATCTAAGCTAAAAATGGCTCATGGGGGATGGAAATGGAAGACTAAACAAAATATCCGCCGACCCCGGCCGACGCAAGGGGGAGCGCGTAAGGGAAGAAGAGGTACTGCACTGCTATCCGCCGACCCCGGCAGGACGACGACAACGACAACGACAACGACAACAACAACAACAACAACACCACCAACACCAACACCAACACCAACACCAACAACAACAACAACAACAACAACAACAACAACAACAACAACAACAACAACAACAACAACAACAACAACACACACAACCACAAGAACAACAACAACAACAACAACAACAACAACAACCACAACAACATCAACAACAACACCAAGAACAAGAACAAGAACAATAACAAGAACAAGAGCAGGAACAACAAGAACAACATCAACAGTAACAACAACAACAACAACAAGAAGAACAACAACAACAACGACAACAACAACAGCAACAACAACAACAACAGAATCCGTCGAAAATCTGTCGAAAAATGCTGTTTTTCTAGGATTTCAGACGACACGTTAGGGAGTTGTTTGGCGCGGTTTTGGAACTAGCTCGTCCTTCAGAGGCATGGTGTTTCCCTGCCGGGAGGTGATTTTTTCGAAGCTGTTTTAGTGCTAGCAGCCGCAGGCATCAGAATTTGTCGAAAAATGCTGTTTTTCTCGGATTTCAGATGACACGTTAGGGAATTTTTTGGTGTGGTTTTGGAACTAGCTCGTCCTTCAGAGGCATCGTGTTTCCCTGCCGGGAGGTGATTTTTTCGGAGCTGTTTTACTGCTAGCAGCCGCAGGCAACAGAATCTGTCGAAAATCTGTCGAAAAATGCTGTTTTTCTAGGATTTCAGACGACGCGTTAGGGAGTTTTTTGGCGCGGTTTTGGAACTAGCTCGTCCTTCAGAGGCATGGTATTTCGCCCCCGGGAGGTGATTTTTTCGAAGCTGTTTTACTGCTAGCAGCCGCAGGCAACGGAATCTGTCGAAAAATGCTGTTTTTCTAGGATTTCAGACGACACGTTAGGGAGTTTTTTGGCGTGGTTTTGGAACTAGCTCGTCCTTCAGAGGCATTCACACTGTTTTTGCAATTTCAAGAAAACGTGGAAGGCACGAAACACTGTAAATAGCGGTGTTTTAGCCACTTTTGGGCGCTGAAACGCTGGTATTTACACAGTTTTTTGCCCGTGACGGCGCCAAACCCCTGTAAATTACAACATTTTCTGCACTTTTTGAACCGATTTTTTGCCTTGGTGAACGCAAAAAACGCTGGTATTTACGCGTTTCCCAAAAAATCGAAGATCGTGACGTGAACGAAACCCTGTAAATAACAGTGTTTTAGCCACATTCGGGGACTAAAACTGTGGTATTTACGCGGGTTCTTGCCAGCTGACAGCGCAAAATGCTGTAAATTACAGCACTTTGTGCGCTGTTTATGTTCAATTTTTAAACGCGCGATGCTTTCACATGTTCTTTGCATTATTTTGCATTCTTCCACAAGAAGCAACGTTGCAGATTGAAACTGGACGACAGCGTGACCCGAAAGAAAGCTGGAGGGAGGAGACGCACAGAAGCTTTTACCCACACACACAGGGGCTTTTACACAGAGAAGTCTTTACACAAAGGAGCTTTTTACATACAAAAGGTTTTACACAGAGAAGTCTTTACTCTAAGGTGCTTTTGCAGACAAACGTCTAGGAGCTTTAACTCACAGAAGTTTTTACACGAAGAAGTCTTTACACAGAGGGCTTTTTACACACAGACGCGTTTGCACACAGAAGCTTTTACACAGAGAAGCCTTTACACAGAGGAGCGTTTACACACCAAAGCGTTTACACACAGCAAGCTTTTACACACGCAGGGGCTTTTACACATTTACACAGAGTAGCTTTTTACACACAGAAGGTTTTACACAGAGAAGTCTTTCCTCTGAGGAGCTTTTTCACACAAACGTCTTGGAGCTTTTACACACAAAAGCTGTTACACAAAGAAGTCTTTACACAGAGAGCTTTAACACACAGACGCGTTTACACACAGAAACTTTTACACAGAGAAGCCTTTACACAGAGAGTTTTTATACACGGAAGCTTTTACACACAGAGAAATCTTTACAAAGACGTGCTTTCACACAGAGAAGCTTTTACACAAAAAAGTCTTTACACAAAGTGGTTTTTACACACTGAAACTTTTACACACAAAAGCTTTTACACAGAGAAGTCTTTGCACAGAGGCGCCTTTACACGAAGTAACAAGTTGAAATCGGCAGCAGTTCTTTAGGAAAAACCCTTCGCAGGAGCTTTCGGGAACTCACTTGCTCCCCAAAAAATCATCTATTCCAACAAATATGTTCCAAAAAACCTAAGGAATATATTTCTGAAGCAGGTCCTCATTCAGTAACTTTCACGCCCACACTGCGATGAAATGGAGGGCCGAGTGGTCCGGCGGAGCCGACGAGGGGCGTCAGCCCAAAAATCCGGCCAGGGGCCGGCGCCGGCCCCGGGGCCGCGGCCCGTGGCATTGCCGGAGCCTTCGGTGGTAACCGAAGGTTATATACGGCTGCCCCCCCTGCCGCCGACCTACCTCCTACTTACCTCGTGTCGATTCCGGTTCACCCCCGGTCCACGATTATCGTTGTAATTTACAGTGTATTCTGCGTGTGGTGTTCAAAAAACATTGTTTTTTACAGGGTTTTGTGGCCTTCGCCGTCTCCAGGTTTCATCTTGGCGACGTTAAAAAACCATGGGTTTTTCAGGGTTTTGGGTCTTCGGAAGGTGTCCGGAACGGAAAACTGGACATCTTGACGGCCTTGGTGTCAACATAGGGCCAACATCGGCCAAGATGTGGGCTACATGGGTCAACATAAGGCTAAGATAGGGGCAAGCCTGCGCCAACATAGGGCCAACATCGGCCAAGATGTGGGCTACATGGGCCGACATAAGGGCTACATGGGTCAACATAAGGCTAAGATAGGGGCAAGCCTGCGCCAACATAGGGCCAACATCGGCCAAGATGTGGGCTACATGGGCTGACATAAGGCCAAGATAGGGACTACATAGGCCAAGATAGGGCCAACATCGGCCAAGATGTGGGCTACCTGGGTCGACATTACGCCAAGATGTGGGCTACATGGGCCAACCTAGGGCCAACCTAGGGCCAAGACAGGGGCAAACCTGCGCCCAAATAGGGCCAACATCGGCCAACAACAACAACACCAACACCAACACCACCACCACCACCACCACCACCAACAACAACAACAACAACGACAACCACAACAACAACAAGAACAAGAACAAGAACAAGAACAACAGCAACAGCAACAGCAACAGCAACAGCAACAGCAACAGCAACAGCAACAGCAACAGCAACAACAACAACAACAACAACAACAACAACAACAACAACAACAACAACAACAACAACAACAACAACAACAACAACAACACCAGAACATGGACATGGATTACACCCAACGCATAC